TAAATTAGAATAGAAAACGGAATTACATAAGATGGAAATGAACCTTTAGGGAGGTATAATAATCTTATTTTTAACTTAATAAGTTTGAAATGAGTGGTCCTCAATATGTGTTCTATGGACCAACCACTTCAGAATTACCAAGGGCATGTGTTAAGATTGCCCAACCCTGACCCCCACTCCAGACTTACTGAATCACAGTCAAACTTAATCATTTTTATTTTTACCTCTTTTTAACTTTTGTGCCAGCATATGTGCATGCTGACATTTTAATTATTGTTTTAGAATGTTGGCAGTTTGCTTAATGTTACTGATGTGAGTGAAAATTACATATTATTTCTTTACAGAATCTTGTTTTTTCATTTGAAAATAATGAGGTCATAGCACCAAAAAATGATCATCTATATATTATAAATAAAATTTAAAAATAAATGCTAAAGTGGGGAATAGTTATAACATGGCAGATAAAAGTTTATATGTTCTCAGTATCAGAGAGAATATTTTAAAGTCAATAAGAAAATGTCAAATTTGAAATATGCAAATTGCTAAATGACATATGGACACATACAATTTACAAATGAAGAAGTAAAAATGCTCGATAAATTTATGAAAACATGTTTAATATTAGAAAAGAAGTACAAATGAATGTTGCTCATTAACATTACAGATAAATAATATGTTTATATATATTTTGTTATACATTATATGTATTATATATATTTATATGTATATTTCATATATGTACACACACATATATATGTGGAAAGATAATACTTTTACTTGAGGCTGCAACAAAATAGGTGTAGTTATTACATGTCATTGGGAGGACCATTAATTTGTTCATCCTCTTTGAGGGCAGAGTTCTAATATAGATGACAAATTTTAAGACTGCTCCTCTATTGACATGAAAAATTTTCACAATATATTCCTATGTGAAAAGGGGTTATAATATTGTCCCAAATTTGAACAGATAATATTATACATGCGTGGATATAAAGAAAATGGCCTAGAAGACTATTCATCAAGGTGATAGTGGTGGGTAGTTCTGAATGGGTAGAGTTTATTCAGTGCTCTCAAATTTTCTGATAGGAAATGTTGTTTTACTAATGATAAAAAACTTAAAATATTAAGAAAATAGTTTTTAATTTTCAAAAACTTCAGATTTGAAAGGTATAAATGTGAGAGACAAGAACAGGGTGTGAGTTGATGATAATTACTATTAACTTCAAATAAATGAATGCTTCAAATAAAATTTCTCAAGATTCCACAACTGAGATAGTGCTAACAAGGAAGATAATTAACTTGACCAGTATATACCCTCCTGATTTCCGTATGCTTTGTCTTTTACTGTTTTCTTATAATCTTTTTCTTTCTCTCATGCTATAAGTCTTCATAAGTTTTTAGTGACATTACCTGCGTTACATGTGACATCTCTTGCTAAAGAATGGCTAACCTTTTTAAGTGCTTGCTTCATACCCAGTCTTTCATTTATTCTCCAAAAATGGTTCTAGTGCGTGTTTAATCGTGGCCACAAGAAGCTGTTAATGTAATAAGCTAATATCACTTCTGTGCCAGGCAACTTAGTCTATGAAGCCATTATCAAAATTGGGTAATTTTGCTTGCTGTAGATTTTTTTTTCCAGTCAAATCTCCAAGAGTGCACTGGTTATTCAAGCCTTAATTATCATGAAAAATTAAAAACAGTAAATATTGACAGAAACATTATATTTGGGAGAATGTTATAACTTCCTGATTTAATGTAAAAGCTTTTTCTTGTTCATAAGTCTTCAATTTGACTCTCCATTGTAGTTATATATACTTTAATTATTAGCAATGGAAAGAATGAGCGAAAAGAGCAGGGAAACATGTGACATCTTTTCTCAATTGTGTTCTTCTAATTCACATTTTAGAAGTCCAAATACATCCCAGACATGGAGAAGGGGTTTCACTTCTGGCAGGCATTAGAAGCTCACTGGCAAGCCAGCCCCAGCTGTTCAGAAGCCTGCCAGTAGATTGTTTAAAGTTTGTAGGCCTCGAGGAGCAGCTGGGCTTTACAACAGCACTCAATTTCAGATTTTACATTTCATCTGAAATACATTTATATGATTAAGTATGTTAACTTCCAGCTAGCCAGAAAGCCTTAACTCGTTGTTGTGCAGTACGTTATATGTAGGATGACCACATACTGTATTAGCCAAACCAAGACACTTTCACAATGAAAAAGGACGCTATTAATAATTTCACTAGGACGGCAGGTGTGAACCAGACTGTCGTTTCTGTTGGCTTGAAGCAAATCGCTATTCAGATTATTTAAATGGCTCAACCTACAGAACAACATCACCACACCTACTAAAACATCATTTATCTATAACAGACCACCTCTAAACTTAGTGACTTAAAACAATTACAATTTTATTAATGTTTATGATTTGTTGGGATGGGCAGGAAGGCTAAGAGGCGTGGGACAGCTTGCCCTTCACCATGTAGATTCTCCTTCACAAATTGTTTATATTCCACATGTAAAAATATGCTCATCTTCATCTTAGGTTTCTAAAAGTTTCATCCCAATCACAACAGTAGGCCCAGACTTCAGGATCCTGTCCTCTGATCTAAATCAGGTCTAGGTACAAATGAAGCTTCTTGTATTTTGGTCCTTTTTGTGGGTTCTCTTATCTGTTCCCACATATTAAACTAAGTATGGTAGAGCAGGGTCAGAATAATCACCATCAACATTCCCATTCAAAATGGGAGGAATAGGAATTATATGACTCTGAATGGTTCATAAAAATTTTGAATTCCCATTGGACATATGTTGTCAGGCCACCTACAGGGGGCGGGGGGGGGCAATGTTTTTGAAAAGGGCCTAGTTCTCTTATGCTTCTGGCTCTGCTCTCTGGACTCTTGCTCTGTCCACAGTATCATAGTTAAATAGCTTTCTCAGCCTGGTTTCTTCTTGTGGAAAGTTGGGGACCAAGCGAAGTTTCATTTGGAAGTGTTCTAATTAATCCAGCACCCTTAGAATTTTTAAAATTTTTCTATGTATCAGATTATAGTCTATTACATAAAGGCCCCACTCACAAGTCTTTTCAAAACAGATCTTCCCCCTTCAGTGGCAGTGTATCAGAGAGCTCTGGGACTAGTTCCTTTTATCAAGACAAGATGGTCTATTGGACTCCAGTTTAGCTCATTTAGATATATTTTTTAAAAGTTGTTACAACCACACATTTCAGTTGATCTTTGACTACCGGCCTTATTTCACCTTTGAAATCTTTTACAAGCAAGTCTTAGTCTTGTATCCTCTGTGTTTTCTTTAATTTTGCTCACATACTGAACATTTTCTTCTTTAGCTGATCCTGTATTAGCTTTATCTTACATCTATGAAGCCAGTTTACAGGGCTTACAAATGTTTTGTTAAATATGTCCCTTTGGATTTCATGCTTTGGAATTCTTTTATAAATGAGTTGTGTATTTTATTTCATTTTCAGTTGTTCATTGGTAGTGTATAGAGACACATTTGATTTGTGTATATTAATGTTATATTCTGTGATCATGTTAAATTCACATAGTTTTTCTAGTGGATATTTTTTTGTAGATTCCTTAGTATCTTCCATGTACATGATCATGTGTATACAAATAAAAACAATTTACTTCTTCCTTTCCAATCTGTATTCCTGTTGTTTTTTTTCTTTTGCTTGCCTTATTGTAATGGCTAGGATCTTCAGTATACTATAGTGTTGAATAGAAGTGGTGAGAGTAAATATCGTTGTCTAGTTTCCAATTTTATTTATTTATTTTTAAATATATTTTTATTGATTTCCGAGGGGAAGGGAGAGGGAGAGAGAGATAGAAACATCAGTGATGAGAATCATTGATCAGCTGTCTCCTACATGCCCCCTACTGGGGATTGAGCCTTCAACGCAAGCATGTGCCCTTGACCAGAAGGAACCTTTCAGTCCACAGGCCAATGCTCTGTCCACTGAACCAAACCAGCTAGGGCTAGTTTCCAATTTTAGGGAAATAGCACTAAATCTTTTTCTGTTAAATATGTTGTTAACTTGGGTTTTTTTATAGATGACTTTTATTAGGTTTAGGAAGTTTCTTACTGTTCCTAGTTTATTGGGAACTTGTTGTGAATGGATATTACCATATGTAAATTATACCTCAATTAAAAACTGATTTAATAAAAACAAAAACATTACATACACTAAAACGTGAACAGAGTAACATTGGCTCACATCAGTTGTTTTTTTTTAAAAAACAACACACTGTGTAGCCCTAGCCGGTTTGGCTCAGTGGATAGAGCATTGGCCTGTGGACTGAAGGGTCACAGGTTCGATTCAGGCCAAGGGCACATGCCTGGGTTGTGGGCTCGATGCCCAGTAGGGGGCATGCAGGAGGCAGACGATTAACAATTTTCTCTCATCATTGATGTTTCTATCTCTCTATCCTTCTTCCTTCCTCTCTAAAATCAATAAAAATATTTTTAAAAAAACTGTGTAAAGTTTAAGAAAAACTTTAGTCACAGCTAAAAGATTATTTTTAATATTAGTCAACTATAATATTAAAGGTATAATCAAAATGTTTGTTAAATATTTTGCTTTCAGAAACAAAGAAAAAGGAAAGGAATTGTTAACTTTCCTTTTTCTAAGCTCATTTAATACTCAGAACTCATATTTTTCTATGTGATAAAACTCTGCCTGTAAAATCTGAACTGAGCTTTTCTAGTTAGCACCACTGAGAAATTTTCATTCCTTTTATTCCCCCCAGAATAAGGCACAATGTTTTTTAATGTTTAGTAATTATTTTTCTTATTTGGCATATAAATACTATAGATATAGTCTATTTAACACTAAATATTGACTCTCTAGGTTGCTTCTTAATCAGTTTTACAATATTTTATTTCCAGTTCTATTCTTATTATATAAGTAAGGAAACTGAGGCTTAGAACAAGTATATGACTTGCCTTTAGTTATTTTTATATCTCTGGTAACTTTTTTAAAATAGGAGTTACTTAAAGATCCGCTGTACATTGGACTCCGGCAGAGAAGAGTGAGAGGTCCTGAATATGATGCTTTTTTGGATGAATTCATGGTGGCAGTTTCTTCCAAGTATGTATAGTATTTATTTTACCTATATTTGAGTTGAATTTGAAAAATTTAAAGGTAACCTAACATAATGAAGTATAAAAATATCCAAGTTTTGTGCTATATGTCCAATAATTGGAAGCAATTTGAATAAAATACATGTGCATATATATTCATAGCAGTTAGTGGCCAAGTGATATCTTCATGTGTTTATCCCCTAAAAGGTTGTCTTTGTTGCTATTCCTAAAGAAACTTTTCTCTTATGATTATTGGCAGTCTGGCTAATAAATCTGATCTTTGATTGTCTTTTTGGATGAATCTGACCCATTTGTGGTAGGAAAAGCAGAGGAAGAAGTGAGCATGAGTTAGCGCAATGCACAAGGTCCAGAATGGAGCAAGGACCAGGACATCCAATCACAATCTGTGAATCTCTGATTAAAAATAAGGTATTCAATTAAAGTGCAGTGCTATATTTTACCTAGTCTAGGTAGTATTTAACTGTGGGCCTAGTGCTACTGTAAAATTTTCCAGTTTTTTTCTTTCAAAGAAGAAACTTCTGCCAGAAGTTAGTAATATATTCTAGGAGAATTTTGTCTCACTAACAGTCATCCCATTTGTTACGGTATAGCCACAGAAACCATGTACTATTTAAACACACGTATGTTGCCTTGGTTTCTCATGGAAATAAACTCATCACTAGAATCAACTCTAAATGGAGACATCCTTCTGGTTTCTTTTTATTATAAGGTTTGATTTTAAGAAGTTGAATCCAATAGCAAAAAGTACTTCTACCAGCTTGCACAATATTTAGAATAAATGGAATCTTTCATTACCCAAGGTTTTAATGCAGAGTATAGTTGGCAATTAGTATAGACTACTTTTTAAAAACCCATGCCTGATTTATTATTACTTATTAACTTAATTAAACTGTACTTATTCATAGAAGTAGTTGAGAAATTCCACAGTTTAAGTTCAAGATTGCTTAATACAGTTAAATGTTAGTAGTTTTTCCTATTTAATTTTAAGTGCCTTACCCTAAAACTTATGTAAGCTTTTGAAATTATAACTTTTCAGGTAGCCACATTAATCAAGAAATTATATAGAGAGTACGATGAGACTATATAAAAGGAGAAATTCTCTATGTATTTGTTTTTATTGTCTATTTGTGCAAATCAGGGGTGGGGGATGTCTGACCTATGGGCCATTTAAGGCCTGAGAAATCATTTGGTCTGGCCCTGCCAAGGCATTAGGAGTGAGTTAGTTAAGTGCTTGACCAAATATAGCAGGCTAAGTTTTAAGTTGATAATTTTGTATGGCCTGTGGATGATGTTACAAATATCCAAATGGCCCTTGGCAGAAGAAAGGTTCCCCAACCCTGGTATAAGCGAACATGGTTTACAATTCTTTTCTTTTAGTTGCTTTTCTTTCCTAATCTTATCTTATTATATTCATTAATTCTTATTGCATTAATTCAAAATTCCTTTAATGTGCTTGTAAATTTTTTACACTGGTTTTATTCTTTTTGTATGAGTCTTATTGAAATGTATTATTCCGTGTGCCCTATTTTTCTTACTAGAATGTAAATTGTTTCAGCAAAATAACTTTATTACAAGAGATTACTTTTTATCTATCATACATTATACTGTAGCACATAGTGGGTATAAAGAAACTACGTTGAAAGCATTACTTAAACATTGAATGCAACCTTAATGAAACCACAGTGCCATACATCTGAAGCAAAGGTGGTTCTCTAATGAAAACTAGAGAAGCACACAAGTTTCCAAATAAAGTGGCTCTGCTTATAGTAAACTAAATATTTGAGTTTTAAATATATACATTGATGTGTTAGAATTGTTCTTTTCTCTAAAGAAGAAAAGTATTTTAGTAAATTACTATTGCGCCCTAATAGGTTTGGCTCAGTGGATAGAGTGTCGGTCTGCGGACTCAAGGGTCCCAGGTTCAATTCCGGTCAAGGGCATGTACCTTGGTTGTGGGCACATCCCCAGTAGGGAGTGTGCAGGAGGCAGGTGATCAATGTTTCTCTCTCATCGATGTTTCTAACTCTCTCTCTCCCTTCCTCTCTGTAAAAAATCAATAAAACATATATAAAGAAAAGAAAAGAAAAAAAAGAAATACATTAAAAAAAAGAATTCCTTCTAAAAAAAAATTACTATTGCAACCATTATTACCTATCATTTTCTTTTTGAATCAACAAACAATGAGATAAGAGGAATTCCTTAACATTTTATGAGTTTTAAAGCTAAATTATATTTATTAAAGATAATAGTTACCTTTAACAGTGACCTATATACCATGCTTCTTGTATGTGTGTGTTCTTTGCCTTTTCTCTTGACTTTCTTTTTTTTTTTTTTTTTTTGAGAATCAAGAGTATGGTTTTATTTATTTATTTTTATTTTTTTTTATTAAAAACTTGTTTCTTATTGTTTTCCATCTATCTGTACCATCTACACTAATAAAAGAGAAACATGGTAATTAGCGTACGACCGCTACCCTTCCCATTGGCTAATCAGCATATCCTTATGCAAATTAACTGTCAGCCAAGATGGCGGCCGGCAGCCATGCACTGAAGCGAGCAGGGAGGCTTGCTTGCTTCAGTGACTGCGGACTCCAACGTTCCCCGCCTAACTTGCCGGCCTCTCAGCTGCAACTCTAAGCAACTATGTACTATGTTGCAAATAAGAAGCTAAACAAAACCCCAGAAACCAGCCAGACTGAAAGCCAGCCGGACTGAAACTTTGTATCGATGTTTTCAGCAGCGAGGTCTCAGAGCTAAAGCTGGCCCAGAATAAAAAAAAAAAAAAGAAAACAAGGAGCCGTTGGGAGCTTCAGTCACTCGCCTGCCGGAAAACAGCCCTCAGCCCCTCACCCAGACTGGCCAGGCACCCCAGTGGGGACCCCCACCCTGATCCAGGACACCTTCAGGGCAAACCAGCCAGCCCCTACCCATGCACCAGGCCTCTATCCTATATAGTAAAAGGGTAATATGCCTCCCAGCACCGGGATCAGCGGAGCAGCGAGGCTCCCGGCACCGGGATCAGCGTGACAGGGGGCAGCGCCCAAACCCCCTGATCGCCCTGCAGCTCTGTGTGTGACAGGGGAAGGCGCCCCAACTCCCCTATTGGCCCTACTCTGTGAGTGACAGGGGGGAGCTCCTCAACCCCCTGATCGGCCCTGCTCTGTGAGTGACAGGGGGGAGCTCCCCAACCCCCTGATCGACCCTGCTGTGTGTGTGACAGGGTACGGAGCCTCAACCCCCCTGATGGGCCCTGCTCTGTGAGTGACAGGGGGCAGCGCCCCAACCCCCTTATCGGCCCTGCTCTGTGAGTGACAGGGGGCAGCGCCGCAACCCCCTGATTGGCCCTGCTCTGTGACAGGGGGCAGCGCCCCAACCCCCTGATCGGCCCTGCTCTGTGCATGACAGGGGGTGGCGCCGCAACCTCCCCATCGACCCTGCCTTGAGTGTGACGGGGGCGGTGCCCCAACCCCCCAATCGGCCCTACCCTGAGCGTGACTGAGAGTGGCATCGCAACCTCCCGATCCGCCCTGCTCTGTGCATGACAGGGGGCGGTGCCCCAACTCCCCAATCGGCCCTGCTCTGAGCCTGACCAGGGGCTGCACTTAGGGATTGGGCCTGCCCTCTGCCACCCGGGAGCAGGCCTAAGCCAGCAGGTTGTTATCTCCCGAGGGGTCCCAGACTGCAAGAGGGCACAGGCCAGGCTGGGGACCCCCCCTCCCCACCCCCCTGAGTGCACAAATTTTTGTGCACCGGGCCTCTAGTATATAATAATTTAGAAAATAAGCATGAATATATCTGCTCATTAGTAATATTAAAAAGGGAAACTCAATATAAATTTATTTCATTATATCCAGAAATTAATCTAAAAACAAAAGCAAAAAACACCAGTAGCAATGTCTTGTGGGTCAAAATAAGGTCCTTTGTTCAAATTATTTTTCTTGCCCTCCTTAATTTATGTGCATTTATAAACAAAGATGAAAAAGGTATGCACATATGAAAGTAGTTTAATTCTTATTTTTAAAGACTATCGAGGGCATGAGTGGGGGGAGTTTATGGGGGGATGAGGTCACATATGTAATACCTTAATCAATAAAGAAATTAAAGATTAAAAAAAAATAAAATAAAAGGGGGAGGACATCTGTAATAGTCTCAACAAAAGATAAATAAATAAATAAATTTTTTAAAAAAGAAACAATAAAGACTATCAGTGTGGCTGATTTGATGGGGAAATAGTATAACAATATTTGAATGAGATATATATTATTTTATCATTGGAGATTAAAGATGAAAGTAAAAGGATAATTAAGAAAAGGATATTAGAAAGTTGGTTGAGGGTAAGTTCAGAAATTTAAGGGGACTTTTTTCAATTCAGCAATCCCTTATAAAGGCATTCTCTAGGAAATGTGAGATCTAATTTGCAATTAATACGATATCTTGACCTATCCTTATTGTTGATGATCACTACCTTTCAGATAGTAATGGTGGGAGTCCTTATAGTGGCCCCTCACGACCTCTGATGCACTCGGCTGCAGCCACACTCTCTGCACGTTGCTGTCAATGAACTCTTAAAGCATGTTTCCATCTCAGAGTATTTGCTCTTGCTCTCCCCTGTCTGAAATATTCTACCCCAAGAAATCTACTTGGTAAATGACCTAATTGTTGTCAGTACTTGTTGAAATCTCACCTTCTTCTGAGGCTTACTAGTATCCAGATTCTCCATATAATACTGAAATCTGCCCCTTCTTCTCCCCATGCCTGGCTCTCCTGATACTCTTGCTTTGCTGTACTTTTCTTATTTTATAATTTTATATAATTTATTCATTTATTACATGTTTTGCTTACTGTGTGTCTCTGATAATAGAATATGTATTTCCTCAAGGACAGGAATCTAGCTTGTTCATTTTATAAACAAGTTTCTATGTCAATTCCTGGCACAAAATACTTAGATATGCAATATATATTTGTTAAACTGGATTGAGCTACTACT